AATAATTTTCTTGAATTGAATTGAATTGAAAACTTTGCTTTTTCACTTTCAGAAACATCTGATATTACAACCATGGTGAATTCCCAGTGGCCTGACATTGAGGACGTTCGAAAGCTGCCCTTTGACCCCAATCCCCGGGAGCCTAAGTTCCGGAATGCCAGCCCTGTTTACTCTGACAAGATGCCAAAGTGCTCCAAAGGTTATAAATATATGCAATCAGACAACAGATCCCCTCTCAGACTTAAACACTTTTTTTATGGAGCACCTTGAGTGTAACTCAGATGTTCACTCAGACATGTGTGCATCACTTATTTTCACAGAGGTTAAGCAAGAAGAAACTCAAGCCAAACCAGTGACCAAGTCAATACGGCTCAGCAGGTTCGCTGCCCACAATGCCTTTCATCACTGTGAGCAGTGTCACCATTACTGCGAGGCTGTTCCTGTGACACAGGTAAGATACATACTCACATCATCATCATCTGAGGCTTTCAGCTCTGTCTTATTACACACTAACAAATGCACATCCATTTGTTTGTCATTAATAGCTTGAAAACTTTTTTTAACCTGGTGATGTTTTCTCTGAGAATACTGATTGCACGTCTGTGTTGTAGCTGTCGGAGTGCTCCTTACACACTTTCACCTTCTGTTCGTCCATGCTGGGAGAAGAGGTCCAACTCCAGTTTTTCATTCCTAAAGCCAAGGAGCAGCACTTTGTATTCAGTCATGAAGGGAGCCACCTGGAGAGCTTACGCCTGCCTCTGGTCTCTACAAAGGTCAGATGAATCGGCGCACGTGGGTTTTATGCTTCGTAGCTTTTGCAACTTCCCTATGATTTACAAAATTATTCACTTTTTTTTGGATGATATAAGGAGCTGTAGATGATAGGATGTTCAAAGTTTTTCCAATTCACTGTTAAGAAATATTATTCTGAAAATGTTTTGTTATTTTTAGTTGCAGTTTTTGAGATTTTTTTTCTTCTTCTGCCTCTTTTCATTTCAAGTGTGATTTTTTTTTTGCTGTTGTGTAGAAA